TATTAACCACATCCTAACATCTGTCGCGACGCACGCATCCTCGAAGCTCCACCCTTTCAAAACTGACTCCTTCTCAAAGATTTATGCGAAGTGCAAGAGAACCGGTTGATGTCTTGTCCAAAATTCTTTCTCAAGTAAATCCATTTCAGGCGGTTGGTGGAAAATTGTGGACGAAGTTGATTTGAAAGGAGGTGAACACGTATCGTTCGAATGTGGTAGTGGGAACAGATGCTATCTTTCTGCAATGGATAATGGACGATTCACCATTGGCTTACCACATCCTGAAGGTGAAGAGCCAAATCCGGAAGAGATTTTCGCCGTCGTAAAAACACCAGATGATCCCAAGTCAAGGTATACTTCTGATCTTACTGTTTCCGTTGTACTGCAGTGGGAATATGCGCGCTAGTGCAATATACAATCCATATCCTAGAGCTGAATGGGCGTGGCTGCAGACTCCATTTCAGCGGGGCGGCGGCTCAACTCTCGGTTGAATTTGCCGTTTTTGGGTCGATTATAACTACGTCCTTTTCAAACACATACAGGGTAAAGTTGGTTTAAATGAAGAAATCTTAAGAAAGACGCACCATGCGTCGCGTTCAAATGAAGTGCACAGCCACGCCTATTACAACTCTAGGATATGGAGTATAGGTCTGCAATCCGATATATTAATGTTAGTATTACGTGCTGCCACAGTATTGCACGACGTTCTCTAACTGCGCTAACGTATGGAGTGGGGAAAGGAGGCGGAAGGACCACTCTACAGCGACTCTCCATATTTTCCCTAGCAGAGCTTGAGTTCACACTTCACGTCTTTGAGATTTTCAAGGAATAAATCGTTTTTTTGACACTAATCGTCTAAGTCTAAGCCGTGGCTGAAGGAAGAGGCGCAGAGACGCTTTGGACTGACCCCCACCCCTAATAGGTTAGCGCCCAGCGCTTTGAGCGTACGGCAGCGTTCTGAGCGTTTGGGAACCATGGCTATCGATCTATCGTCTCGAGCTTGCGCTCTCGTTTTCAGCGACTGCCCGAGAGTTGAAAACTTTCCGCGAAACGCACAATACGCTGCCGTACACTCAAAAACTGACTCAAAGTATGTACGCTGCCTAAAGTGCTTGATTGTGGATCTATACTGCACTAACCCAATGTAGGTGATTGCTACCTTTTTTCGAGGAATATTCAAGGTTTTGTTTTTCTTTACAGTTTGAGTCGGAATTGGACAACTCATCCCTCACAGTACACTCATGTCTCTAGTTTCAGTTTCAAAACCGGTTATGGAAAATACATTGGTGTTGATGCTAATGGTGCTCTTGTTGCTACAGCAGAAGCCATTGGAACACGAGAACGATTTCAAGTTGTTTTCGAAGAGGTAATCATTTACTAGGGTAAACATTTTTGGTCATTGGAACGAGTAGGATGCGCAGCATACTTTATTCCTCCCCTATTCGTCTGCCTCATCCCAGCGAGATGGTGATCTTCAAAGGGATCACCATCTCGCTGGGAGGCTCAGCCTCAGCACAGTGTAGACGACAGAACTGGGCATCCTCGATTCCCGCCTTGTGTCCTCTTCCAACTTGATTGGCCCCAATATTTGCAGAAAATCTTGCCTTTCAATGTTCAGGCTAATTTTTTCTATTCAGGGAAAAAGTGCCATTCAAGCAGTTGCTAACCCTCTGTTCCTGTCGATGGCCGTCAACAAAGACGGGCTCATTTATGTAGCCAGTAAAAAAGCTGGTGAAGAAGAGATGGTTATTGTGAGTTCGCACACTCAGTTTATGTTTTCTCTTAGCTTGAAGGCAGTGGACACGATGGCTGGGCGGGCGGTTGCTGCCAGTGTCATTGGTAGAGGGGCTGAATGGGATGTGGGACGCTCGCAGCCCTTCCACCAATGACGTTGGCTGCAACTGCCCGCCCACAGCCATCGTGCCCACTGCCTTTAACTACTAGGAATGTTTCTATTATTCATACATTGACGTTGTTTCAGATCCGCACAAATGCTAAGAAAACCGGTCCTGTAGATTGGCGAGCCGACGAGGACAAAAAGTCCGCCAAAGACTGCTCTACGGCCTATGTGTAGGTCTTTTTTCAGTTACCGTCACAAGAGTTGTATCCCTACCGCGCGCAGTTGTATGCTGGACATGCCATACCGGCCGCTACGCGACCGGACGCCTGGTTGCTACTTATTACGGACAATGACCATTTTGCAGTTTACATACCTCAGGATAACACTTCTTTAGGAAAATGTACCAACACTCAAAAGTCGATACGAAGAATCGTGCTATTACATCAGATGTTTTCGATATGAAGTCAGTTAAACGTGCACAAAAAGATGGAGACCTACATGAAACTTTGTTATCCAAGCGGATCAAGATGAAATCGGACCGATATTGTTGATACTGATTACCTCACTGTAATAAAAATTCACTTTATTTCTCAAATATATATCCAGTTGTATAGCTCTCCGCAAAATCTGGGACTCAGTAAACACCCCGCCTTTCCCCATTCTCGCAGTTATTGGGGAAGCGGTCCCACGGCTGGCGGTCGTGTTGCAACTCTCAGCTAGTTAGTGCACGATTGCTTGATCGCTCTTACGACGTTACTTCAAGTCTACCGAAAAGCATGGCTCACTCCGTGAAAGCTAGTGGCGGCAACGTTTCATCCATCTAGTTCTATGTGTATGCAGTGAACGTAATAGGTGCAGGCGCTGAAGCGCTTTAGGAGGGGCAACTTTTCGTCAGCATCTAACCGCACTATTTTCCTCCTCCCTGGAAAACTGCGCACACAAAGCCCTACCGTGAAATATCACACGTGTCAGACGAAGCGCATCGTGTGCGCATCAGCTGTCAAACAATCCCGCGGTTTCAGTGACCGCTTCGCGACCGCATGCCTTCCTGCAATGTTGACGGACAACCTCACCTACCTCTTTATAGATCGTTCTCTTGACCACATCACAGTGGCTTTTCCCATCGATTGGGAGCCCTTACGTGTTTGCGGGACGCACGGTTCACCCCATGGTCATCGCTGGTGTTCCGTATGTCCTATTACGTGTAGAGCCCCTGCTTACCAGTCCAGACAGCATAGTGGTTTCGTTGCGAAATCGCGCCATGAACCTTTATCTAGGTAGAAAGCAGCAGTGCTCACAGCTCCGAGTTCCTCTTAGACCGCTTCGCGACCGCGCGCCTGTTTGTAACATTTACGGACCACCACGATTTGCCACCTCTCCCTTCGCCCCTTGTATGTTAACGTGTTGACTAAGCGTTTAAAAGATCTTATGCTCAATATAGTTAATCTGCTATATGAACAAATTATAAACACACCAAACA